AGTAAATAAATGTGTAGGAGAAAGAGGGGTAAAAGCTATCTGTGGGAAAAGGATTACTTTAGATAGCATAGTTAAAGAAGGACTCTCAGAGGGGAGTTTTAAGCTGACTTAAAAGATGAAAAGGAGTTAGTCACACCTAAGTAACATGGTTAAATATAAATGGCAGTACAATCAATTAAATGACAAAATGAGTGTTAAAGTCCAGAAGGAAAAAAAAATCAAAAGAATAAGGCATCTATATCAAGGCAAATGGAGAATCTAAGCTTGGCCTAAAGAATGAGTAGGATGTAGAAAGAAAAGGTAAGTGGGGACGGGCATTCCAGATGAGAAGGGAATAAATAAGAACTTACATACAGAAATGAGATCTGCCTATTTGGACAAAAAAAAAAAAATGGGTATTGAGAAGTAGTAAGAAGCAATAGCTCTCCTACAGTAGAAATGAACTGAAAGCGGGTCTTGAATGCTCCTTTCTGGAAAGCATGACCATAACAATCCATGAGGCTATAATTTAACAATTAAGGAAACATAGCTGAAAGTAACCTAAAAATCAATGGCATTAATGTAGCTAAAATCTAACAAACTCCACTGAAGGAAAATAAGAAAAGAGGGGAGGATGGGGGGAGAGGGGGGTTAGCAAAGGGAATGATCAGCCTGGAAAGAGTTAAGAACAAGAATGACACAGGTTTATCTCAGCACTGTCTAAAGAAGCGTGGCACAGAACCTGAAGTCAGAAGTATTCCGGTTTCAGAGAGGTGACCGTAAGACTAGCCTTTCCCAATGCTTGGACGGCATATTCCCCAAAGATTCTCTGTTCTGATTCCACGCTGCCTTATGAATTCAGATTCCCAGGAACCATAATACTAAAAAGGGATGGCCTGAATTTGAGACACAAGTATTCCAGGCACTGGAATTAAAAAATTTCCCTACTATAAGCGCTAAGTTCCATTCTAGTGTATTCATCAGTCTCTTATGAACTTAATCATCATAAGTTAACATCTAAAGCCTCATTAATTCTGGGCCCATGGGGGGAAAAAAAAATCTACCTTACAGATATGCAAGGCTGAAGATTAAGTCCTGAACTATGATGGACCTGAAGAACTATCCCACACTGTACCACCCTTACTGGACAGATAGCCAACCTCCCTCCTAATTAAAACCAGTATATCTAGAGTACCAAAAATGTGGAATCTCAAACAACCCAATTAAAAAATGGGCAGAGGATATGAAGAG